CGGCAGGGAGTCGGCTTCTCCCTCTGACCCTCCCCACTCTCATGCTGTCTTTCTCTCTCTCACATAAATAAATAAAATCTTAAAAAAAAAAAAAACTCTCATGTTGTTGATTAGTTAGTAAAATCAGAAAATCAGTTTTTTTTGGATTGCCAGCGGAGTCATCTTGTTGTCAGCCCCTTAACATCTGCTTGTGGGCAGAGTCTGCACTTTATCTGACCCTTGATGTGGCCGGGACTTAGGCCTCAGTCCCTCACTGCTCATGATTCATGTGCTCAGGGAGAGAAAACTCCGTGACTGCTCTGAATTCAAGTTCCTGCTCTTTGGGCATCATTTCTTTGTCATGTAAGCGCCTAAGGCTGTGATCCTTTGTTATTCCCTATTCACACCTCATCAGCTTCCAAGTCTGGACCTGTGGCCATGCGCTATCGGTCCCTTCCTTCCTGCTTCACCGACCGAGTCCTCATTACCTCTGGTGCAGGTTCACTCAGTGGCCTCCCAACATGTTTGTCTTACATACCTCTTGTAGCAAACTGTCCATACTCCAGTCCATTCTTTGCCTGTTGCCATTTTAATAGTCCAAGAGTAAAACTCAAATCCTTTTTTCTATCTTGCTCAGTGTCCCTCCCCAAAGTCTACTAAATAAGAAATTCCTTGCTGTCATTCAGCATTCAGGCCCTGTTGTGTGCACTCAGAGCACCCTGCACTTTTCCCTTTATAGAACTGGCCATTTTTTTTTAAAAGATTTTATTTATTTTGAGAGAGAGAGGGAGAGAGAGCATGCACGTGTGCACAAGCAGGGGGAGGGGCAGAGGGAGAGAGAGACTCTCAAACAGACTCCCCGGTGAGCCTGGAACCTGAGGCAGGGCTCGATCCCATGAACCTGAGATCATGACCTGAGCTGAAACCAAGAGTCAGATGCTTAACTGACTGAGCCACCCAGGCGCCCCAAACTGGTCACATCTTTAAGAATGTATATTTTTGTGATTATTTGATTGTCTTCCCATCGGACTGGAAGGTGGATGGGAGCAGCTGTGGGGTCTGTTTTCCTCATTATTGTATACCCAGCTCCTTGTCTGGTGTCTGGAAGGGATTTGTTAAATAAATTCCAACTTTACCTCCTACCATTCCTCTCGTACACCTGATTCCAACTCAGTTGGGTCATGTAGTACTTTCTGAACATGCCCCATACTTTCTCACCTTTGGGCCTCTGTTCATATTGTCCCATTAACCCAGCTACCAGTTCTTGGGGCAGGATAATGTCATGGGTAAGAGCCTTGACTTAAGTCCCATAGCCTGCTTTCACATTTAGCTCGGCCACTTACTAATGATATGATCCTAGGCAACTTTCTTAGCTCCTGTGAATCTTGGTTTCCCCATGGATAAAATGGGAATCAGGTGGTTCCCACCTCATGGTGTTGAGGATCAAGTTAGCCAATGCATAGATTGAAGGCCTCAGTACGTGTTTGTTAATGGTCGCCGTTGTTCTGTCATATGCTAGGCTCTTCATAGACCTAGCGTTAGTTCTCCAAGCAGCCATGTGGGAAAGCTACTGGTGGCTTCATGCTCAGGATGAAGAAATGGAGGCACACAAAGGCTACTTACCTGTAGTTAGTGAGTAATACAGCAGGATTCTAGTACAGGTCTGCTCATGACAAGGTGGTTTTTTCTACTGTCTCCACTCTGTGTATTCTCTGGCCTCATTGCCACCCCCAGGCATTGCATTTACTCTTCAAAGCTCCCCTCATGTGCTGTCTTTTCCAAGAGGGCTTTTCTCATTCTCTCCTGGACTGATATCTTGTTCTCCCATGGATGTTGCTTTTATTGTTTATTATTAACAGTGTGCTTAGAACTCTCGGTTTCTGAGTGTTTGAGTAACATCCACCACAAGACTTAGGTTTGAGGGAGTTGCCTTCCTCTCTGTTGAATTCCTGTAGATTTGCTATCTGACCATATTATTTAAATTTTTCTTTTTTTATAATTTAGTTCAAGTAGACCCCAAAAGCCCTTCTTTAGGGCATACACAGAGGTCGGGCATACAGACTGTCCCCTGCCGGTCCAAAATTTTTCCGTGTTGGCAAAGTGGTCCCTATCTGTCAGCCTTTCAGCCTGGGCATCTGGCGTTTGAGGCTCTTCTGTTAACTGTTCTCTTTTGGCATCTCACCGCAGAACTGCAAACCTATTAAACTGTAAAACTGTTTTTCATCGAGCAGGCCCTGCCCTCTTTTTATCTTTTTGCCTAAGAAGGGACACACACGCTTGTTGCGAACTCATATCTACCCAGCACGATACTTAGTCATGCTAACACAAAGCAGGAGACTCGGACCGTGTCTTCAAGCAGCGTTTATTAGACTCTCCGTGCCAAGGCGCTGAGCTAAGGGCTTTAGTAACATCATTGAATTCACTCCCTCTAGAAGCCTGGAGATGCTGGCTGACCCTGTTTACCCTCCCAATCTCTTGCCTAGGTTTTCACACTCTGCACACGCTCCTCGGCGTGCACTGTCTCCCTTTGCATAACCTGCTGCATTACATTGATGATGGGGTGTTGCTTCTCACCGAAACGGCTGTCACAAGGCTCATGAAAGGTAAGAGGCTCCGAGTTTGCCACAGTGCCAGCCTGGCCCTGAGCCCCATCAGGACGGGCTTGGTGGTGTGCAACCCGTGTGGTCACACAGGGCCCTCGTGCAGTCAGGGCCGCCCCATGCTCGGTGTAATGCTCCACATTAAATCTTGAAATCCTTAGGATTGAAACAAGGGGATCCTCATTTGCCTTTTGCAATGGGCTCTGCAAATTATGCCGCGTGTCCTGCTGAGTACAGTTCATTTCCTGTAGCCAGGCTTTGGGCTAATTTGAAGTGCCTCAGACCTTCAAGAGGCCCCAGAGGGCTTCTCGACCCACACACAGCTATTACATTCCTTTTCTGTACATGAGGGCACTTGAGGATAGGAGACTCTGAAGGCTTGTTTCTCAAGAAAATGTCATGAAATGGCTTATTTTCAGCTGATTAACTCTGTCAACACAGACTTAGACTGGAAATGCAAGAGAAACTGAGAGATGCAGTGCTCATGTGAATCTGAACTTGAAGGTCTCCAGTGTAATCACTTGCTGAAATTATTCGTTGTGGTATTTTATAGATGAGTTTTGTTAATATATGTTAAAGTATTTGCCGTTCCCCAAGGTGCCTTCTGTTTTCACTTCGTAAAATTGTTTTGTGAGTAGCAGCCTGCTACAGAACCATGTTTCATGCCATATAGAAACTGCTTCATTAAAAGAAAGCCCTTGTATTCAGAGACAACAAACTAAGACTTTCGAGGTATTGTCAGACTTTAGCTTGAGAATCCAGGGTGGGGAATGTGTGTTATCAGAATGAACCACTGAAGTATTATTAGCTTGCTCACATATTAAAATGGAGATTTGTTTTATTTGCCAATCTAACTTTTTTGTAGATCTGGACAATTCAGAGAAAAATGAAAAACTAAAATTCAGCATCATTGTGCGGCTTCCCCCGGTAATCCTGAATTATATTTTATTCTCTCCATAAGCCTTGGTATGAACCTCCTTCAGTTTCTTCTTGCAAAGGGAGCATTTACTTGTTTTGGGCTAAAGTCAATTGAATTGTTTCACTTTTCAGTCCTTTCCCAGAAATCCCATCCATCTTCACGCCCGCTGGCCGTTCCCTGCGGCGCCGGCGCCGACAAAAAGCTTGTTCCTCTGGCTTTGTGCTGCCTGGCACAGCCTGCCTGAAACACTTAGCCATTTTCCCCTCTTACGAAACTGCACTAATATTTACATCTGTGAGTCTGAGGGGAGGGAGAGGGGAAACAGGTGTTTTTTGGCATTTAAACTGATAAGAAATTTAAATCCAGGTGAGGTCAAGAAGGTTCTGGAACTGCATTTCCTCCCACTGCCGTTTCTACTACGGCAGGAAGACATTCCCAGGTTGAAGGACAAACGAGAGACATGAGAGAAAGGGTTTGCCAGGCACTCCTTGTTTTGATGGGGATATTGGCTCTCAGAGTCAGAAATACTATGAAAATATGAAATTCCACAGCAAGGTCTTCAGAGCCTTGGACTCCGCAAAATTCCTGACCCTGCCAGCCCGGGGCCAGCTCTCTGCTCTGTTTACATACCTTGCACACTTGTATCTCTGACACGATCCTCCCACGAAGGGATGTCCGCTGCCTTCTGGACCTAATCGTTTTCCTTTGTAACACCCTCTCCTCCTCACAGCTTACTGAAGCAAAGGCAAGGATAGAAAACAAACCATATTTTCCACAGCTAGATCTCTCTGGGGAAAGTCTCTGAACATTTAATTTGGTTTTTTTGTTTTGTTTTGTTTTTCTTTGCCTCAAGCTCTTAGGGAATTAAAATTTTCTGGGCAGGACACTGGGGAGAACGACCTTTTGTTTCCTATAGAGACCTCACTTAGAGTTGCAGGTACCCAGTTTTGAAGAGTAGCAGATGAACTCCATTTCAGAAAAAGAATTTGGCAACATGAATAAACTACTTTCCTCAGGGTTGAATTTAAGGGAGTATTTATTCAAAATTCAGAGGCACACCTCATAGGAAATGGCCTTTCTTCAAGGGTCATTAACCATAAAGGGCCTCTCTTTTAGACTAACCAGCTACTTTGGAATAATCCTTTTTAAATTATAAGTAGGTATAAGGTACATGTACTTAATGCAGTATAAGCTACATTCTCCTCTCTGTATTTTTTCCCATTCTTTTATTGTTATTATTGACTTAATTTCTTTAGAGTAGTTTTAGGTTTACAGGAAAATTGAGTGCAAGGTCCAGAGATTTCCCTGTCCGCCCCCCTGCCCCGACATGTGCAGAGCCTCCCCTATTACCAACATCCCCCACCACCGCGGTCCATGTGTTACAACTGACGAACCTGCATTGATGCATCACAATCACCCAAAGCCCATAGTGAACGTTAGGGTTCACTCTCGGTGTTGTTCATTCTATGCCTTTGGACAAACGTATAATGCAATGGGTCCATCATTAGAGTACTGTACAGAGTAGTTTCACTGCCCTAAAAATCCCGCTCTACCTATTTTTCAATTTGCGTAATAGCTTATTGGTCAGAAGATCTGCCGACTTTGGGATCATCCTATGAGTTCTAACATCATTTCCCGGAACCATGTGAAGCGACTGCTGCTAAACTATAAGAAACAGGTGAGTCTGCGAGCAAGCACAGCCCCACTAAATGTTGTTGTTGGATCCTATTTGCCCATTTCATCATCTCCACAGAGACAGCAGCTGTAGTTCTTAGCCTCCTTTTTTAAGTTTGTGATTGTTTTGGAGAATGAGCTGATACCAGAAGTGGTTTCCCTTTTAGCCCCGGAGTTCTATGATTGACAAGTCGCCAGGCAGTGTGGAGTTCCTGCCCCTGAACTACTTCATTGAAATACTGACAGATAGAGAATCTTCCAGTCAAGGTAACTTCAGGGCTTTCCTGCTTTTCTCTTGACACATCAGTCCCTGTTCACTTCTGTGGACCCCTTTCTTTCTGGAATACTCCTTACTTCTAAGCAGTCCTTACTGCAGCTAGTTTTAATCAGTAACACACTGATTAATCCTAGAGTAAATTACCAAAGGAATAATCACCTTTGAGGTTTTAAGCGGGTTTAAGAGGCTGAAAACCCATATGGTTGATGCGAATGACCTTTCTTGGGGCTGAGGTAGAATAAATTTTAACAACACATTTTCAGAGTAACGTGTTTTACTAAAATATAAAGTAATTACGATGTCAATGAGCTGCAGACACAATGTTATTACAGAAGTTCCATGGCTACGCAGTAACTCTTTTCTCCTTATTTTTCCAGCTCTGTATGCTCTTGAAGGACATGACAATGTGGATGCAAAATTTGTAGAGGAAGCAGCTCTAAAACACACCACCATGCTTTTAGGCTTATGAAAGAGAAAATGCAGTTGTATCCGCTCCCAGTATTTTAATCTTGTGCATTAGCTTGACTTCCGTCAAGAGTCCTTTACAATTCTTTAAAATTGGTAACCAAAATCAGAATACATTGTTAAGCCATCTGAATTCCAGTTTGGTACTTGTTCAGACAGAACTAAATTGCTGTACCTCATCCCGGCTTTGAAAAGCAGACAAGCAGTCAAGTGGGGAGGAGTGACAGAACAGTCTGAGAGGCATGCTGTGTCCTCAGTGACGACTTAGCGGCTTACCTTCCTAATGACTTCACAGGCCAAAAGCGAATTTGTATTGCACTCTGAAATAAAATTACGCTTTAAAAAAAATGTAGGGGACGGTGCTAAGAAAAAAACTAGATGTGTTGTTGAAGATAACATATGACAAGCATAAAAATTAGTTACAGAAGAACTCTATTTGGAAAGAGGATACTTTTCAAAGAACTGAATTTGGACCGGGTCAAATCTGCTATTTCCAGCAGAGAATAATTTGTCATATACAGCAGTGTGTACATAATGGTATTGAGAGTAGGATTTGTCTTTGTGATGGTTCAGATGGAACTGTACTTTAATATGTTCAAGTTTTTTGTATTTATAAAAGTTTGATCTAGTAATATCTTTTCATTAAAAAAAGAAGAAGAACCACTGAAGGTTTTGGCCTGAGTCTTTCGTTTTTTGAACATAGCCTTTCTATTCCAGCCAGGAATCATGAGTCCATGAGCATATTCCCTCTCTGAGGGCCCCCATGGCACCTAACTAGTTCTCCCACTTTTCTTTTTTCTTCCCTCTCTCTTTTATGGTGACTTCATTCTGACCCATAACGGTAGTCGCTTGCCTGGGGTCAGCCGATGCCCTTTGCTTTTCTCTCTTCACAATTTCTCCAAGTGAACTTGTGAAATTGTCATGCTTATAAATATCACTAGCTAGTACAATAATTCAACTTCTTTTCTAAAATCATACTTGTGTTCCCAAAACTGCCCTCTCCTACAGAAGTTCCCTTTTTGGTCAAATATGTAGTTGTCACAGAGGCTCAAAATCTCAAGATCATTATTTTTCACTCCCTACCCTTTCATACTTGCATCGTTTCGGTGTCTTTGTGAAGTCCGAGTCATCTGACTTCCACTGAGACTGGTTCTGTCACCCCTCTGCTCATAGCCCTTCGTTACAGGATAAGACCCAAACTCCTTGACATTGAGCGCTTCCTAAATCCCGGCCTTACACAATTCCCCGACATGAACATGCTGTTCCAGCCAGGGCAGCTCGCTGGGCCTTGAACAGCTTTTGTCTTCTTACTTGCGAGCCTGGCTTAGGCTATTTCCCCCATCTGGAAGCCCCTCCCCACTTATTAAAATCTTACTTGTGTTTAAGGGCCGGATCAACTAGTCCATCTGACTGTGACCCCCAGCCACGCCAGCGCACAGTGGCTCCTTCTGTAGGCACCAGTAGCCCAGGCCGTGATACTTACTTAACATCCATCCCTTTGTGTTAAAGAATTAGGTTTCCATTCTCACGTTGTTCCTACAGGTCTATTTTTGGATCCCTGATGCAATTACTAATTCCTACGACACAGGAGGTGTGTTGAAGTACGCAGTATTTCTTTGTATTAACCACACACTGTTACTTATCACAGGCACTTTGCTTTTTAATAACTTTATAAAACAACCAAGTTAGATTCAGGACTAACTTGTAGGCTGAGAATGAGATTAAATTTCCCTCCACTCTGGCAGGATAGGGGCTTGGAACAGATTTTGTTTCATTTAGCCAAAAAAAAAAAAAAAAAAGGAGAAGAAGAAGAAGGGATGTGGTATTTCTCACTTCCAGAATTGTGACACAAAATCCATACCCAACACCAATATGAAATATGGTTTGAACATATTAATGAAGTAAAGTCAGTTTTAAAATCCACTTGGGTATTTTCATACGTGAGAAAATATAAAAACACAATTAGGAAAATATGCTTGGGTGAAATGCAATAAAATCAGAGTAATGAAATAAGTGGAACTGGCCTCATTTTCAACTCTGCCACATGCAAAGCTATAAATGTTTTCATTGGAATTTTTAAAAATCTGGAGTCAGAACTTAAGCACAGGTTTATTTGTATGTAACGTTGTAAAAAATCTAGATTTATGGGAAAGATAAATTAGGGCATAATTATTTTTGAAGCAAAAGGATTCTTTACTTGTAAAAAGAATGATCATAATATTACTTTTAAAAGGACAAGCTTCCTTACTGCTTTTTACTTGATTTACATTTACCAACATGAACTTCAAATGCACCTATTTAACAAAGTGAATTATAACCTCTGTGATACTTGGGATATTTTCCTTTTCAAACAATCATTCTATCTTTCTCTTTCAAGTCAATATATTGAACAGTATTTGCTTTTTTCTTCTTCAATAAACAAAGACCACGCTGCCAATTTCTGTACTGCATTGAAAATTGATTTATTTTTATAGCACCTGGACTACTATGTATTTCTGAAAGGTAGTCAATATATAGAGTGAAAAAGAAAAAAATGAACAATACAGAAATATGCTTTGACATAATTGTAGGAAAATTCTATGTCCTACTTAACATCATGTAAAATATAATAGCTGATGAGTGTAAAAGGAAGCCATGTTGTTCTCCGTTGTTGGTCGATTGTGGATACTGCATTTGTCTGTAATTTAGAGCTATTACACTGGAACTTTCCAGCTGGGCATATGAGGCAGCCTGGTTAAAGTGTCTCCTTCAGAAGCCCAGATTGGTTCACATGCTCAGATTTCAATTGGCTTTGTAACAGGTTTCCTTATGTGCCTCATATTGGCCCCCGGTTCACTGGGCTTGAAAGGAGCCAATGCGCCATATGGTTTGGGCAAAGGAAGAGTGGCCTCGGCCTCTGGGATGTAGGCATTGGGACGTGGCTCTGCAGTTGTGTAAACACCATTGGGCAGCTGGTGGTTATCTGCTACCAAGAACTCCTGCAAAGAATGATTTTTCCTTTTTAGTTCTCTGAAAACTATAGTGAAGTCACTTCATCCTTAGGGCCCAGCAGACACAGCTGGGTCTGAGCAGCCTTAGGCTGTGCTGGCTGATATTTTCCCAAAGGGACAGGAGGTTATGAGGGTGGCATCACTAAACACACACACACACACACACACACACACACACACACACAGAGTGTCTCATTGGAATGACCTGTGTTACTCAAGCATTATTCTGTTCCTGGGATTTAGGGTTTACCATAAACTGGTTAGTGGGTCCTAAATTCACTGTATTCCAGCTTCAATATCTTTCATCAAGCACTCAGTATTTCCACGTTTTTGAAAAAGGCTGGAGTAAGTCATTGGTGAGCAAATGTTACAAAGGAGGAACTAAGGAGTAAAGCAGAACCAGAGGAGAGAAGTGGTCAGCAACTTGCTTTGAACCTCAAGGTCACATGCGGGCGCAGTCAGTGACAGACCTAGACTGAGGCCAGTGGCAGGAGAGGAAGGCTGTGACCTTGAGGCCTATGACGCAGACCAAGGGCAGAGTCTGCAGAGGGCTGTGACAACCGGCAGATGCTGGAGGCCTCACAGTGTGCCGTGGGGGCCCTGGTAGCCAGATGTGGGAGAATAAGGTGTGCTCTCAGCAGGGGTGCAAGGACAGAGACTACAGACCTTTGATAAAACCAGGGCCAGCCCAGCTACCGTCCTGCCAATGGGAGTCCGTGGCGTTCAGCCACACAGGCCATGACATAAGACTGTGGGGTGGGCCTTGGGGCTCGATGAGTGTTTTCTGGAGAATATTATGGCACTTTGGACTATGATTTTGACTTGTCTACGTCCTGTCTTAAGCAAAACTCCTCTCTAATGATTGTCAGAACTAAGTGTGTGGTAGAGTGGGAAATTTTTCATATATTTTGGGAGGACGGAAATCTCTGAAAATGGCCCTTCCTGGCACACTTTACAAATGTGACGTGGAAGATAAAGCTTACCCGAGACTTTTCAGCGATGGCCAAGGCATACATTTCTTCATCTCGAAGTACCTTCAACCATTCCTTCTCAATGTTTTTATTGAGTGGCAGGCCCTTTTCTATCCTGGAACTGCAAGAGAAGATGAAGTCTTCTTTCTCCCTGACTTCCTTCTGGAGTTCAATGGCCAGAGCTTGTTTCATGGACAGCTCAGCAACAAGAGCCATTGTTTGTTCCGTAGCATCTTTGATCTTTTTCCGGTAGCCATTCATCTAGAATGAAAGAACCCAATGCTTAGACTACGTATGTTCCATGAAGAGTTAAGAAAACGGCAGGCTGAAGGGCTGTCTAGGATGGTGGGGGGCATTCTTGCCTCAAGGAAGGAGAGTTTAAGGGGGAATTCAGAGAAAATAAGAATTAGAGGAGATCTCAGAGATTGAACCCAATATCCTGGCTGTGTAAATAAGGATAGGATGGAGAAGAAACAGATCTGTTCATCTAGTTACCGGGGTTCCAAGTGGATAGCATTGAGGGAAATAGTCCCTTTATTTTTAAGAGGTGATAAGGAGAAGGGGACAGTGTATTCTTGAGATCTAAGTTTTGGCCTAATTTTGCCATGTTTTTAATTTGTCACTCATCCAGTGGAGAAAAATCTGGTAGAACAAAAACTTTATTTAAAAATTACTCATTACTTATATAATATAATCAGCAGAGGTCCTGTATCTGAAATGATTTTTTAATGGAAAATATACCTCATTATGGTTGCATTATTGATGATAATTCCTGGGATGCATCATTATTAGATCATAAGCAAGCATGAGCTGAACCTGGGGAAAATCTGGCCAATAATTTGAAATGAAATGTCCATTGTTCTATGTGTATGTTTACGATTTCACATCAGCTAGTTATCATCAAAGAATTAAAAGATAGGACTAAGTGGAACATAGGCACCAAGCACAATTACAACAATGTTTGTTGAATGAAGGAATTAATAAATTCTATTCTATTCTATTCTATTCTAATCCTCCAGTCATTTGAACCAGGGTACACTGAGACATGAATAAGAGCTTCCAAAAACTACACCTGATCTTGAAACACTTTCTTCTTCTAATAGAGCATACACTGGTCTATCTGTCTACATTTGCATAGAGAAATGTTGCTGCCAGTGATTTACCTTTTTCTGAAAATATAATGACTGATTATTATATATACGTTGTCTCTTTAAAGGAATAGGGAATATACATTTTAAAAACTGTTGTACACTGCAGTAATTTTTAGGAAGCTAAAGCTTCAATGATGAGTCATTATCTTAAATTTCATTAATTCATCAGCTGTGTGTATGTGTGTGTAACTAGCCATCCTCCTTTTCTCCTCCAAAGAAGGATGGTGTTATTCTGGGCTTCTGGGCTACTCTAAGTCTTTGACTGGGATGTCCCCTCCCTGCCACCACTTTTTTTTTTAGAGGAAGAGGGGAGGGGGGGAGGGAGAGAGAGAATCTTAGGCAGGCTCAATGCCTAGTGTGGAGTCCAATATGGGGAATGGGGCTTAATCTCACAACCCTGAGATCATGACCTGAGCCAAAATCAAGAGTTAAAGACACTTAACCAGGTGCCCTGGGACTTCCCGTTTTCTGTTCATTTGGGAAATTTGCAAGAGGAGCCATAAGCTATCTAGGAAAGGTGAGAGACTTGAGATACGCATTCTTGTTGAGCTCCCACAAGGGACTGGCCACTTCTTAACTACTGAATGCTTACAACTTAAGCTGATATCACACCCATTTCACAGATTAGGAAACTTAGTTTTAAGGTCATTTATGTATCCTTCTCAAGGTCACTCACTAATATTGGTAAATCACAGACCTGGGATCTGAAACATTCTACCTTCTAGTTCTGCCTACTATGAAGAGATCATAATTTTAAATGGAAAAAAAAAAAAAAAGCCAGGGAGAGAGCACCAAAGGTGGGGAAAGGTGGGGGGGAGAGATAAATCACCAGGCTGACTCCTCTGATGGAACCCTCCCAGGTGGCAATCACCACCATTTGCATTTCTATAGCATTATAATTGACTTCAGGACAGACTCTGCCAACAGCTTTGACAAGCCAGCCCTCAGTGAAAACGGACTTCCCCTAAAGAAAGGGAAATTTATTTGCAAAAGGAAGGGAGGCAACATTTAGAGAAACATTGGGCATGCTAATTCAGGCAAAGTTCATGAGACTAAAGAAGTCTTAACATTTCTTATTTTCTGAAGTAAAGTTGTGAATTGCACACGAGCCCCAGGACTGAGGGATCAGTCGGCTGGCGGAAGTCCTCAGAGCAGTCCTGTAAAAGCCTAATAAAAACAGCAAAGGGGGCTTGAGATTTACAATGATTCTGTTTCCTTAGTGCGCCAGAACTGTTTCTGGAATGGGAATGACTGTTGATTCATTCGATAAATTCTTGAGTTTAGTGCATGCTAGGCATTGGGGAAATTAAGGAGAATGAGGAACAGGGGCACCTGGGTGGCTCAGTCAGTTAAGAGACTTCTGGTTTTGGCTCAGGTTATGATCTCAGAGTCATGAGACTGAGCCCTGCGTGGGACTCTGTACTCAGCGGGGAGTCTGCTTGAGATTCTCTCCCTCTCCCTCTGCCCCTCCACCACCTCCCCCATCCCTCCCTGCTCACGTGTGCACACACACTCGCTCAAATAAATAAATAAAATCTTTAAAAAAAAAAAAGAATGAGGAACAGTCACTGCCCCCAGGAGCCCACCATCATGGGTGTGGGTGTTACCATGATTTATTTTTTTACCTGTCTCCCGACACTAGGTGTGGACCATGTGTCCCTTCCTCTTTGTTTCTAACCTCACACCCTCATGTGCGCTCATGAGGGGAGCACATAGTAGGTTCAGTAACTATTGCTGCCTAAAATCCCTGTGCTGTCACAGGGGGAGGCTCCCAGAGGCAGGGGGCCTCGTAAGGGCAGGGGGGCAGGGTCCTCTGACTGCCCTGTGGTGCGAGGCCCTGCCTCACCCAAATCACCAACCACCCTCCTGCTGGCTGCCCCTTCGCGGGCCGCTCGAGCAGTCCCAGCCTGACTGGGTAGCTGTGAATCAGCAGTCCTCATATTTTAAATGTATGAAATTAGGAAGCTCCATGCTACTAGTGTTGTCTTGCTAGTGGGGCCTGGCTGTGACTCCATCCAAAGGACTACTAGGGATGGGTGTCGTGTGATTGCTGTTCTCTTGTAATGGTCCTTGTCCGTTTCTGGGTTCTGGCTGAGTTCTGGATTGGGGCCGCTTTCATGCAGACCGCTGGGTAAGTGAGGCCCTCTAATCACAAGGAACTAGAAAGGATTTAACTTGGCAAATGAACTATAAGGGTAGTAATTGTCATATTTTGAGTAGGTGCCCTGTTAAGTGAAACTTGTAAACTGTCATTGAAAAGCTTAAGTTTGCCCAGTATCAAGTGAATATTCATTCAGGGAACAAGATTGAACCCCACTTTGGACAATTTTCTAAGATTCACCTTTACCTCTTTAATTTTACAACTTTATATGTCTCTAGTCATAAAGCCTAACCTCTCCAGTGCTGCTCTCGATAAATAAAGCAGTCTGTGGAAAATGAAAGGAGTGTAGGCAGAAGGGACAAGGCAGGGTCTCGGGCAGACCTTCTTGGCTAAGAGCAGTGTGTCCTGCTTGTAGGCCTGAGTTTTGCTGCAGAGCCTGTCCGTGAGCCGAGACACCTGTTCATAGATGAAGTCCTTTTCCAGTAACTTCTCCTCCTTCTTGGCCAGCTGTAGTTCCAGCTACGTTGAAAACAATTTCATTAAAAAAGAAAAAAAGTCATGCAAGTCAAAATCTTTCTTAATTAGAGCACTATTTTTTTCCCCCTTAATGAACACAGATTGCTTTCACACAGTTGCCAAGATAGCTCTAGGAAAGCCTTCAGCACTGGGCTAAGTCAAGACTTCCCTTGCCCCAACCCCCTCCAGACAGCTCTGGGAATTCTTCCTCTCCATGGCAGAGGGTGGCCCTCTCAGCTCCACCCAGTTTCTATGTTGCCATTCCTCGGATACACGCCCATCAGGAAGACAAATTAATCCACTGAATATGCCAAAATTGTCCCTTTGGGCTATGAGACAAAAGCGGGCATTTTGAAACCACTCAAGGTTTTACTTCTTTCTGGCAAGCATTAGAAACAAGCTTAGGTTTTGTTACTGGATTATGATGAAAGGACTGTATTAGTAGCTAGAATAGTGAGGGATGAGGGATAAATCTGTCTGCATAAGATGAAACAGTACCACAGATATCTGTGACACTGATCAACAAGGGGCTGACACTATTATAAGAAAGAATGCTTACCACATCTAATTTTTTGATCATTTGTTCTTGGGTCATATCTTTCCCTGGAATGAAGCGGATTCTGTTCTCATCCTCGGGATTTATAAATCGTTTCTCCAGGTCTTTTATTCTGTCTATACACTGTGAAAACTATTAAAGAAGGAAACATTAACTTCAAAACTAACTCCATTGCTCAGTAAATTTTTAAAACCACATAGCCCAGGGGCTTTAAAGTCTTTTGGTAGGATCCATCCAGGGAAAGGTGAAAGAGAACTCTTAACATCCCATCAGCCGGGACCTGGGTTGAAAAATAAGTCGGCTCATCCATGGTACCATGAGGATAATGCTTGTAACTGATCTCTGAAGCAAGGCAGTGAGTTCTGAGTCATCAAAGAAAGAGCTGACCTTACAACCAGTCCTTTGTGTTATACCTATGGGATGCTGGGTGGCTGCAGAGCTCAAACTATACAGACCTGACCTCTTTATTTTAGGTTGTTACAGAGGCCAAAGTAGACAACATAGTAGACTCCAGCTTAAAACGCTTTGTTGGCAATAGGTTTAATGGCTTCCCAAAGAATAAAGTTCTTAATTATTAGGTCAATACAGTGTACAGGTCTGTCAGGAACAGCCTGGACTGTTTCTATCTTTTGTGCTAACCGCCTAATATAATGTTTCATATTTGAAGATGAAGAAATATGGCAACTCCCAAGTAGGAGTGGCAGTCACTCTTGGTTTCGTTTTTGGAACACAGTGAAAACCAAGAGTCATTGTTTTCTTTTTCTTTTTCTTTTTTTTTAAGATTTTATTTATTTTTTTGACAGAGAGAGAATGAGCACAAGCAGGGGGAGTGGCCGGCAGAGGGAGAAGCAGGCTTCCCGCTGAGCAAAGAGCCAGACATGGTGCTCAATCCCAGGACCCTGGGATCATGACCTGAGCCGAAGGCAGACGCTTAACCGACTGAGCCACCCAGGCACCCCCATGAGTCATCATTTTTAACTTTCCTATTGAAAACCTGTAGAGACTTAGGCAAATCATTTATCTTCTCTAAACCTTAGTTGCCTCAATTGTCAAATGGGAAGATAAGGCCCAATCTAACGGGGTTGATTCATTAACCGAGAGAACACATCTCAAGTACTTCACAACGCGTTCCAGACTGATAGGGGTAGAATTTAAGTTTCAATTCATGTATTTGCCTCCTCCTCACAAAAAGAATTTAAAATGGTGACATAAATAATTTTTTTTTCCTTTTTCTCCCCCTCAACATTCCTTAATTGCCCTTAATATGGAGTTAAAGTATATGTATATATGTAACCAAGCATAAATACATAATTATTCCATCTATAATTAACAATGCTTAATGTTTCTGTTTCTTAATTAGGAAATTAAGGAAGGAACAAAAATACAGTGCTTGCTTATCAAAATAGTGCCTTGATTGCTCTCATTTCCCCATGGGTCTTTGAGGAAAAACTGTTCACTTTTTCTTTTTTTTAAGTTTTTATTTAAATTCCAGTTGGTTAACACACAGTGCAATATTGGTTTCAGGTGTAGAATTTGGTGATTCACACTTACATATAACACCCAGTGCTCATCACAACAAGTGCCCTCCTTAATTCCCATGTTTACTTTTTTTATACAAAATAGTGTTGTGTCCTAAAATAGTTCACGTGACTTCCAAGATCCCTAAAAAGGAGCTATGATTATAAGCACCAGGAAATATGACTCATGATAATCCTTGGATTCGACTGTTAGACAATTAAAAACTGTTTCAAACAACTGAAAAAATACAAACCTTAAGGGAATTCTGGAAATGATACAAAAAATGGGAAGATTTTGAAAAAAAAAAACACGAAACACTGCAGCTGTAACAAATAACAGGATGCGACAGGGATCGAACAGGGCAAGGTAGGGTAGAAAAATGACTTGCCGAAGGCTCGAAACTTTACATCATGTCCTTCGAAGGGCCTATGTGATTCGAAGGGCCCTTCGAAGGGCCATGCTGAGTAGACAAATAAGTGCAGTTTGAAGACTAATGGGAAACTTTCTATTCAACAGTTCTTAAGCTTAGATCTAACTCTGGCAGAACCTGTAACTGATGATAACACATAGACCATATATATGTCTCAATTCATAGGCAGGCAGAATGGAAAAGTCTCGTATCAGGCATAAATGTTTAAATATTTTCCTTTAGGGGCACCTGGGGGGCTCAGTCGTTACGCGTCTGCCTTCGGCTCTGGTCATGATCCCAGGGTCCTGGGATCGAGCCCCGCGTCAGGCTCCCTGCTCGGCGGGAAGCCTGCTTCTCCCTCTCCCACTCCCCCTGCTTGTGTTCCCTCTCTCGCTGTGTCTCTCTCTGTCAAATAAATAAATAAAATCCTTAAAAAAATAATAATAATAAAAATAAATAAATAAATATTTTCCTCTTGGGTCAACTGAACTCATATTTCACACCAGATAACTGGTTTCATATAATGAAATGCCAAATGCATATATTTTAAGAATAATGAATTTTATCCATTGACTAGAAGTATTGATTTGCAATTAACACACAGAAAATGCCTACACAGTAGAGAGAGAATTTTTCTGTTGTGGATCTTACTGAATTTAAAGTCCTTTTGTTCTGCTGGGCATCTTGATAGTTTGGTATGGGCAAAAATGGCCCTGAGGCTGTGTTTTAAGAAGGAGCTGGAGGGAGACAAATTATTCTGTAAAATCGAGACAACTGTGGAGTGCCTGGGGGGAGAATCTGGGGAGGTGAGGCTGTGGAGAGGAGAAGAGGTTGAGAGGTGTAAAGACAGGCCAGTGAAATGGAGCTAGGCTAGGGTGCTGCTTGGGCTAACACGCCTGGGGATGGTATGGGGTGGCCCCGCAGATCTTTGCAGGGCATGGATGTCTGATATTGAATTGGAAGTTCTTCACATTTCTGTAATGTACACCAGCATGCTGTTGCCCCAAACCTTCAATCAATTCACAAAGGTCTTGCTCTTGCAGGAGTGGTTTTGTGTAGGTAGGCTGAAAAAGGAGCGAGTCCTGAACTCCGCACTGACACGGCATAGAAGTGAACCAGGCAGAGTGCGGGCCAATTGATGAAGGGATCCCTCAAATGAACCACTAGCAGCAGGAGTCAGGGCCACAGGAATCCTGGGGAGGCTACCTTGGAGGCCTGAGGGATGCCTGGGGGTGTTCCAGCCAATCCATCTACATCAGGCTACACTTATGGAAGAAGTGAATAGGAGAACTTAAGGCTAAAAAAACAAACGCTGGAATCAGAACCTTGGCACATTTGTGTACAACGAAAGATCCTATCATTGATACCACATTCACACATTCAAATGGCATAAGATATGAAGGTGGACCCCTCATCCGTTTCTGCAAAGTCATGTGAACCCCCATGACATGATTAAATGAAAAAACAAAAAAAACCAGACCCCAAACTGTCCACAGTATGACCTAATGAAAACCATTTACTTATATACCTTGAAAAAAACTGGAAGGATCGCTTCCAGATTTTTGATAATTTTTTTTTAAAGATTTATTTATTTATTTGACAGAGAGACACAGAGAGAGAGGGAACACAAGCAGGGGGAGTGGGAGAGGGAGAAGCAGGCGTCCCGCTGAGCAGGGAGCCCGATGCGGGGCTCAATCCCAGGACCCTGGGATCATGACCTGAGCCGAAGACAGTTGCTTAACCGACTGAGCCACCCAGGCACCCAATTTTTGATAATTTTAATAGTGATTATACCTTGGGAATAGAATTTTATTATTATTTTTTTTATTTATTTTTTTTTTAAAGATTTTATTTATTTATTTGAGACAGAGAGAATGAGAGACAGAGAGCATGAGAGTGAGGAGGGTCAGAGGGAGAAGCAGACTCCCCGCCGAGCAGGGAGCCCGATGCGGGACTCGATCCCGGGACTCCAGGATCATGACCTGAGCCGAAGGCAGTTGCTTAACCAACTGAGCCACCCAGGCGCCCTAGAATTTTATTTTTTTTAATTTTTGGTGTTTTTTTCAAAACTTCATTAATTGAACATGTTTTAATTTTATCATCAGAAAAAATCTGAAAACAAACCTGACATTTTAGAAAACATATGATAGGTTAAAATTTGTTCCTGCTACATTGATTGAGTCAATGGAAAAAAGTATAAGCCGCAAACTTTTCAGTTTAATTTTTCTATTTTCACCAAGGGAAAAAAAAAAAGATTATTGCATGTGAAGAAAGTAGCTTTATATTCATTTTTTATGTATACATCTATGTATTTATTTATTACTTCATGTTTAAATTGTTTGGTTTTATTCCACTTTTAAAAAGACCATGTCAGAGACCAGGCTATTAAATGACGGGGAAACTACAGGGGTTAATAAGGAGTCTAATTATATGTGATTGCCAATTAACAAACAACAATCTCAGCTTCAGGGGGCAGGAGTTCTAAAAATGAGAGAGGAAACTGGTCCCTGAGATCTCTCAAGCAAGCATCAGAAACATACTTATGCCAGCGGCAGTGAAAGCCCAGATTCCTTAAATTACGAGCTATAAGGAAGCTAGAGTTGAGATTTGGGAGGGTCTGAATTCCAAGGAAGGCAGAAAATGCTTCATGGGGAAAAAAAAAAAAATCTGTCACCTGGATGCCTGAGCATAAATTCCACCCTGGAGCAGTGGATTTTTTTTTTAATATTTATCTATCTGAGAGAAAGGGTGGGGAGGGGAAGGGGGAGAGAGAGAGAATCTCAAGCAGACTCCCCACTGAGCACGGAGCCCCACATGGGGCTCGAGCTCATGACCTTGAAATCATGACCTGAGCCGAAATCAAGAGTCCGACGCTCAACCGACTAAGCCACCCAGGTGCCCTGGAGCAGTGACATTTTTAAAGAAGACATATAACTCATGAGTTTGTACAGGTACCAGGTGGGGCATGGCTTAATTTACATGTAAGAACTTAATACAATCTTCAAACCAATAAAGGAGGGGGTAGGGAAAGCAAATGGCCCCAGGAAGTGTCTGATGAACGTTTCCCCACCTGAATCTGGAGCACTGCTAAGTCGGCGTCCAGGGCCCTCTTGGTTGGCAGTAATTTCTGGGTCACGTGAATCTGTCTTTGTTTCTCAGCAATCTTCAGTTTCAGGAACCGGATCTTTTCTTCCAGGACATGTATTTCAATTTCTCCATTTAGCTTCATCTTTTCTTGGATATTTATTTTTTCATAGAAGATGCACACTTCCTCTTCCCGTTCTATCAGCTGAACGCCACTATGGCCAAAAGGAGAGGCAGAGGCTAAGAGGGTGTTGAGACCACTTTTTTTTTTTTTTTTTTTTACTAGTCACAGGGATTCCCTCTGGATCTGGGCGCAAAATACGTATCAACATTACATAATTCCAGAAGACAATAGATATATACTCTTGGCTTTCTAGTTAAACTGCACACTTTTTGTTTTCCTGGGGATAGGAGAGGGAGGGCTGGTTAGCATTTCGACTCTGAGCTAGCCGATCATGCAGCTGGCTGGTCACAGTATCTCTGCAAGTCCCAAAGGTTTCCCTAGGGTGGGAAAAAATGTCATTCCCCAGGCATGAGCAAAGTGACCTCATAATCTGATTTTCTGCAGACCCTTTTTTGGGGCCAGACTTGCCAAGTGAGGTCTGGCCAGAAGTCCCCAGGCAGGGGGCCAGGGAATGTGTTTCTGCAGTGATTCTATGTAACTTGCCAGGCCCATTAGGTTCTTTTTAAAGTTGAGTATTTTTGATGCAAATTTCCCCATAAACAGGCAAAATTCTGTCCTTTGTAAGCATGCCAGGGGAAAGACCCCTCCATGTGAGGAGAATGTGGGAAAGAAACAAAGCAAGAATTTTCCAATTCCAGCCCTACAGGTCTGACCAGAGCTTGGGAACACACTGCCTAAATAATTTTGTTTTGTGCCGGGAGCCATGTAAGAGGACTTTTTTTTTTCCCCAGAGAAAACACCTGCCAGTAGTTTGAAAAATTAGTGGTCTTCACACCCTGAAGTCTTCCCACACTCTGCATATCAATTATCCCAGAGTTCATCTTTAATTGCTTTTTATCTCTTTTTCTCTCTCCTCCCTTAAAACATGAGCGCACATAGTTGCATTTGCTTAATCTTAACTCTACATTTCATCTCATTTGCTGTTTATTGGCTCTTCTCGTGATCCTCTCATTTCTCTTGACAACAAGCTAGGAGCAATGCTTTACCACCTTTTTGTAACTTGGGGGTCCAAAGCTTAGCACACAGCTTTAGATGAAGCAGCCCACAACCAAAGCCACAAGGAAGAAAAAGATATGATACCAGACTTAATTCCTACAGGACCCTACAATTTCACAGACCAGATTTCTCTAGCAGGAGCAGCTTGGGAAAACTGCTACAGTAGTAATTGATTGATGACATAATTGTAGCCTGGAAGAAATAATGCTCTTCTGAGAGGTCCTACTTGCTGAGAAAATGAGCTGGGAGAATGGCTTAATAAATATCATACTAAGACCAATCTGTCACAAAAGTGGATACAAGATCCAAAGACTTATTTATGTCAATTCTACTGAAATAACTTGATGGTATCGGAGGCAACCTGACTGGTAGCCTGGGAAAGAACTTTGATATTTAAGCAACGGACTTAAACCCTACTCTTGCCTGTCTCTTAAAAGAACAGTTTCTTATTTCAGGCAAAACACACAGCTCATCCCCCCCCCACCCCCCACGCCCCTGCAAAAGGATAATGAAACCTGAATGTCAAATGCCCCTCACCCCAGTGTCAAGTCTCTAGAGAAGGGGCAACATTTCTAAATCGGATCTCCAGGTGTTTCGTTTCTCACATTAGGTTCTTGGTTTTTCACCTTTCATTTCGACGCTGAACAGCTTTCTCGTATCTCTTGCGAAGCTGCACCATCTCCTCTTCAATTGTTGTGATCATAGTGGCAAGTCTGTCAATGTTACTTAACCGGGTTTCCTTCTTCTCCTTCATTTCCTGAAGTTTTGCTACAATTTTGCACACATCATTTTGCATGCTTTCTCGGATAGTGACATTGTTGGCATGTTTCAGCATGGAATTTTGTAACTTTCTTTAAAAATAAGGGGAAAACGGGAAAGATTATCATTTTCTTTAGTTTAAAAATAAAGACTTCCGGGGCGCCTGGGTGGCTCAGATGGTTAAGTGTCTGCCTTCGGCTCAGGTCATGATCCCAGGGTCCTGGGATCAAGTCCTGCATCAGGCTCCCTGCTCACCGGGGAGCCTGCTTCTCCCTCTGCCTCTCTCTCTCTCTCTCTCTGTTTCTTATGAATAAATAAATAAAATCTTTAAAAAAATAAATAAAAATAAAAATAACGAAGACTTCTGAAACTATCCAAGTAGCTCTCACTTTAGTATGTCCCTTGAAATGACAATAGTAGTACAGTAGTCCCCCCTTTTCCACAGTTTCGCTTTCTGCAGCCTCATGTGCCACCCGGAAATCCGTCCACCGGAAGCAAATGCTCCTCCTTCCGACTCTTTGGAAGGTCAACAGCAGCCTAACGCTCCGTCACAAACGCGCCTGCGTCTTTCACCTCACTTCAGCTTGCTGTCGCGGCGTTTTGCCTCCTCACAAGATCGCGAGAAGAAGGGTGAGTACAGTACAATAAGTTATATGAGGGTCCGGAAGAGAGCCCACATTTACATAAACTTTTATTACAGTACGGCTGACCGTGGAACAGTACAGTTTTGAACTGTGTGGGTCCACTTATCCGTGATTTTTTTTTAATAAATACAGTACAGTACTGTAAATGTATTTTCTCTTTTTTATGATTTTCTCAACATTTTCTTTTCTCTAGCTTACCTTATTGTAAGAATACAGTATACAGTATATATAACATGCAAAATATTTGTTAGTCAACTGTTTATGTGATTGGTAAGGTATCTGCTCAAGAGTAGGTTATTAGTAGTTAAGTGTTATGCAGGGATTGGCACCCAGGGTCAACTGTATATTGCTATAATTGTTCTATTTTATTAGTGTTGTTAATCTCTTACTGTGCCTAATTTATAAATTAAACTTTATCATAGGTATGTATGTATAGGGAAGAAAAACCTAGAATATATAGGGTTCAGTACTATCTGCAGTTTCAGGCATCCACTGGGGGCCTTGGAATGTATCCCTCACAGATAAGGGGGACTACTGCAGTAATATTGTTATTCATCATATAATACTCTTCAGGAGTTTCTGTAATCTTCCCAGAGTCTCAGATTCCCCACTCCTCTGGACTAGGACATCTTTCCTTTTGTGCCCTAAGCCTTTGCTGCCCCACTTTGTCAAATCAAGAGACTATAGTAATTCATTTACCGCTCTGTCTTTCCCTCTTGAGCGCAGAGATGGTTATATCTGATAAGGTCCATTGGACCTAAAGTGGTGCCTGACTTAATACAGCATCACAATAAATGCTGAATGAATGCATGGCCTTTATAAGTGATATTTTACTTTCATGTAGGATGAGAATCTGTTTGGAAATTAGATTTTCCTACTCCTACCAATCCCCTCCCCCTATCCCTACCCCTCTACTACTTCCCACACAATAGCCCATTTTGTATAGCTTTATAAAAGGAAACTGGCAATAATGGCCACCAGAAAAAGTTCAGGTTGTATAAACTCAGTAGATCAGGGACTAAATATAAATGAGAGTCCAATAGATCTTACCATATTGTAAATAATAAATTTAATAAACAATAATTTGCCAGATGCTTCTGAGTATGTTTACATGGATTAATTAATTTCATGATTAAAAGTCCTATAAAATAAGGACTATTTTTTTAAAAAGATTTTATTTGAGAGAGAGAGAGAGAGAGACCACGAGCAGGGGGAGGAGCAGAGAGAAGGGGACAAGCAGACTCTCTGGTGAGCACAGAGCATGGAGTCCCACAAGGAGCTCAATCCCAGGACCCTGAGGTTATGACCTGTGCCGAAGTCAGACGCTTAACTGAGTGAGCCACCCAGGTGCCCTAAATAAGGACTATTTTTATAGGTAAGAAAAGTGAGCCCAGAAAAGTAAGGTAGCTTGCCCAAGGTCATGCAGCTAGGACTGCAGGGCTGGGATCGGAGTCTAGAAAGCTACCTCTCTTAACCACTTTGCTATACTGTCTCCTATAAGCACATTAGATGCTTCAAATCCATAACCAGGGGATGCTGGTTAATAAACATTTGATTGTCTTCTCATTTTAAATGCAAATTATCAAATTTGTGCTTTTCTAACTTGGTAAATGAAAATAAATAGTATATAGTTTTTTGTTCACTTAAAAATATAGCTATCAAACAGTGGAAGCATACAGAATCACATTCAGATGCTTAGATTGTCTTTTTTTTTTTTAAAGATTTTATTTGTCAGAGAGAGCACGCATCTGTGCACAGAAGCAAAGGGAGGGGTAGGCAGAGGATGAAGCAGGCTCCCTGCTGAGCAGGGAGCCCAATGGGGGACTCGATCCCCGGACCCTGAGATCATGATCTGAGCCGAAGGCAGACGCCTAACCGACTGAGCCACCCAGGTGCCCCTAGATTGTCATTTGTAAAGCATCTTTGAGCAAGGACTCTTCTAGCTTTGTGAGACTATTATTTTCTGGGGCACCTGGCTGGCTCAGTTGGTTAAGCATCTGCCTTCAGCTCAGGTCATGATCTCAGGGTCCTGGGATGGAGCCCCGTATTGGGCTCCATGCTCAGCAGGGAGTCTGCTTCTCCCTCTCCCTCTGCTCCTACCCCCAACTTATACGTGCTCCTTCTCTATCTCTCTCTCACAAATAAATAAATTTAAAAAAAAACTTAAAAAAAAATAAGGCTGTTATTTTCTACTTTACTCTTTAGAGTTCAGTGAATCAGAAGAGAAACTTTTGAAAAGACAGTAGTTATTATTACACTTACCTTTCTTGAGTAACTGCACTATTTCTTAAAATTTCCAGTTCATTTAATGACATCTTATGTCTTTCTTTTATTTCATTTACTTTCTGGTGAGCTTTGTGAAGTAAGTTAACAAATTTGTTTCTTTCATTTCGGATGGTGTCATACAGTTTAGCAAACTCTTTGAGTCTGTGAAAACACAAGTGTTCTTGAAACTTGTGAAATAAAACTCATTTTTCCCCACCTGTAACAAGATAAATCATCATGTAATTCTCTTACCTCCGATGAATTTCACGTTTTTTCTTCTTGTGTATTCTGATTTCCAGATCCTTTGCTTTGATCTCCTTAACAATGTTGGTATATTTTTGCTGAAATATGAAAGTTATGTGTGAAATTAAAAATAAAAAGCTCATCTCCATCAACATATGAATACTCCCAGCTGCACCCTATCTCATTCCTGTCCTAGCTGCGTTGTGTAATTGGGGAACTGTAAGGGAGAGATCGGAAAATTGACTGGCCAGCTGAACTGAATTAATTAAGGACAAGAAAGAGAGAAAAGAGAATGAAAAGAGCCTGTATAGGTTGGCTTTGGGGAACTTTTGGGAGAGCCTAAGAGTGAGTGTGGATGGCATAGATGGGCTGGGTAAGTGAGGAGTTTGTGGAGGGTAGCTGAGGGAAGAGGATTTGTAGTTAGTTTTGACATGTTACAAATGGAACCCTTTTTGGTGTTTTGTGAGAAACTGAAGCCATGCTTTTAAGGTGCTTTTCTGAAGAAATGCTACCCCGGGTAAAGTTTGCTCAGAACAAAGTTTGCCCTCAGAAACAGCCAACATCTGGAGCATCTGGGTGGCTCAATTGGTTAATCGTCCGACTCTTGATTTCGGCTCGGGTCATGATCTCAGGGTTGTGGGATTGAGCCCCATGTCAGGCTCTGTGTTCAGGGCTTAGTCTGCTTGTCTCTCTCCCTCTGCTCCTCCTCTCCCTCTCTCTTTCTCTCTCTCTCTCTCAAATAAATATAATCTTAAAAAAAACAAACAAACAGCCACCATCTGGGTCACACGGTAAATCCCGGTATTCTCTTTTAGTAATATGTCATATCATATTCATTTTTAACAGGAAATCTCTGAACATAATCCTTTCATGGAATAAAATGATTTTAGAGTTTTAGTTAGCATGGCAGCAGAGTCGTTTTTGCCGTTGGTTTCATTGTTCTTTTGGTTTGGGATGTTGCACTGGGTCAACTCTGGTACTTTGTTGGGAGCCCGGTAAAATCATGGATGGAGCAGTAACTAAGGGCATCCTAGCATTGGTTTAAATAATGCTGGCTTGATAGAACTTGGGAGGGAGAGCAGTCTCACGCTACTGCTCTTGACTTGTTCTTGGACAAACCATAGTGGCATGTGAGTTGGTGGGGAATCTGAGAGATCTGCGGCCTGCACAGCAGTCAGCCCTGTCCCCCCGGAGACACCTACCTTATTCTTACTGAAGTTGTCATGTGCTCGAATCCTCTGCTCATTGTCATTGACCCGGTTCGTTTTTCCTCTAGATTGCTGACTATTGCTAATTGAACCCGGAAACCATTTTTTCAGTATATGATTGAGTCTTGTTTGGGGAAGCTGTATAGTCAAACTTGAAGGATACAATTACAGCTTTCTAACAGACACTGTGTAAAATTGAGGATCTCCTGAACTCTTATGGCAATTAATGGATGGTTACAAAAATGCAGTCACCTGAGCTTTCAGGAAATCCTTGGATTTTTGCTCCTTCTCATCAATTTTGATCTGAGTCATACGGACAAGGTTGAAGACAAGCTCTCGCATGTTTTCTTGCTCCTTTAAAAGCTTGTTTTCTTCTGCAAGTTGTTGTTCCACTAACTTGGACTCAGCTTCTGATAGGATTTTCTTTGGAAAAACACAACATATTTATAACTTAATTGTTTGAAGAAACACACTAGGGCCAGTATCTTAACAATTTTTATTTCCTATGTAGAATTTATTTTACTAGGGCGTAAAACAAAGTAACTTGACTGCCTTAGGTCCAAGTATTTTGTAAAAGAATATGCAAATATGATAACATGTTTAATGGGATGCAAGTTTTTCTTAATCAGACTGTATTTTCAAGTAACTTTAAGAAAAAAAGAGACATAAAAGCATGTTTTTGACAGTGGCTTGAATAAACAAAATTTGAAAATTTAAAATTAGACATTGGTGAAATAAAGCATTTATTTTTAATCTGACTATATTATCATTAGCCCTTTTATTTTAAAATCTCATGAATTTGTATAATTTTTGCTGGTTCAAACACATCCTTTTCCCCCAAATTTAACGTGGGGTTTGAGTGGACTCTGAGATGAAGAAACAGACACACATTAAGTAGGCTCATACTCTATTTGATGACTCTCCTATTGAGGTTTTGTGGAACACAGTTAAAAACACAACTTTGTATTAATCTTTCTTAGATAGAAGCTTAAATGAAAGTTGACATTGACCTGTTGGGCCAGATTCCTCTTAGCCACTTCAACTTCCTTGTGGAGTTCTCTCCTTCTCTCGGATAATATAGAATCATCTTTAGGGATAGCTTCCATCTGGAAGTAAAAATTTAAAACTGGCATTTACACAAGAATGAAATCTTCAATGTCATGTAGTCAACACCATTGTGTGCCTTTTGCAAATGGTGGGCAAATTATGATTCTCAATCTTTTAGGAACTGCCTTTCATGCTGAATGTTCTTTATAAAATCATGGTAAACTAAAATATAAAATATAAAAACCTGCCAAAAATCTATAATTCACCAATTGCAATTATTATATTTCTCCTTCATTTGGAAATAAAAGAAATCTTATTAATAATAGCTGCTAACAATTATAGGGCATTGCCAATGTGTCAGGAAAGGTTCTAAGTGCTTATATGTATGGTCGTATTTAATCCTTACAATAACCCTCTGAGATAGGTAGGATTATTATCTCCCATTATACAGATGAGGAGGAGGAGGAACAAAGACATTTGAGCAACTTGTCTCAATGGTACAGGTGCAAACTCAGGTGGTTAGACTCAGGGTCCGAGATCCTAACACTGTATTTTACTGCTCCTCTACCTCACGCATGTTTAGAAACATGCATGTTCAAGTGATGTGTATTAAGCTTATAAAATGTGAATTCATTTATGAAATCCTATAGATTAAAAAAATAGGAACTATTTATTAATAACAGTAAGAATACTTGGCTACTCTTAGGTAGTGGTTTGATGAGTAGCTGGGAAGTTCTTACCAAAAAGAAAAGTCTCCTAACTTTTTGATACCTGCAATTCCACCATTACAGTTCTATTGTATTGGCTTGTGCTTTGTCCTCTGCTGAAGTACTTAGGAGAAAGTAATGTTTCATTCTATCAGTCTTTGCTGCCTTGTGAGGAATGAGCTTGTCAGATTCTTCATGATGGAGAAGAGAGCAGAGAGGAGGAGAACACATGGCAGCTTCTGGGGGGAACAGCATCCAAATACAGGAAGGGTTATCTTGGGGTGCTGACAACATACTTGACTTAGAGCGAGTTTAGAGTTGGATTTTTTTTTAATTTAATTCTATTTTTTTTAAAGATTTTATTTATTTATTCATGAGAGACAGAGAGAGAGAGAGAGGCAGAGGGAGAAGCAGGCTCCCAA